TAAAAACTTTTACTGTGGACTTGTTACAATGGAGATCCCCAGGCATTAGCATTAAAGATTCAAATTTCAGTTAAGGGCGAGCCCCAGAAACACAAGCTCCTCTCCATCCCCAAATGCAGCTGATACAGGAAGTCTGGAACCACACTTATTCCCCCCCTCCAACCCTCCTCCACCTCTTCCCCCCACCCTCACCCCGAGACCTGGGACTTAAACTCTTGAGTCTGGGCACCTTCTCAGAGCTCCCTTTTGCTCAAGGCTAGTGCTCTACCACTTGAGCCACAGTGTCACTTCCAGCTTTTTCTGTGATTAATTGGAGATAAGAGTCTTACCAACTTCCTGCCAGGGCTGGCTTCAAACCACAATCCCCAGATGTCAGCCTCCTGAGAAGCTAGGATTAAAGGGATAAGCCATAGCACCCAACTTGGGACTATACTTTTGAAACCTTTTTTAAAGGCTTCGTCTGTAGGGCACTAGATTACTTCACTTCTAATGGCCAATAAGCCAGGAGCCAGGGACTTATGCCTGTATCACAGCTACTCAAAAGGCTGAGATTTGGAGAATCTGGGATTCAAAATCAAGCCAGGCAGAAAAAGTCCTTGAGATTCCAAGTCCAGTTAACCAGCAAAAGGCCAGACTAGAGGTGTGGCTCAAGTGGGAGAACTCCAGACAGGCAAGAAAGCTGAGCAAACACAAGAGCCTGACCATACCAACAAAAAGGAAAAGCAGCAGCCGACAACACAAAGCACATTAAGCAGGATAGGAATTTAACATGCCATCAGCAGAAATGCAATGAAAACAACTACAAAAAGATAATCAAGTCAGGCGCAGTGGCTCACACTGGAATCCTAGCAACTCAGCAAGGATCACAAGCACCCTGATGGCCAGTTTGGGCAAAAAGTTAAGAGAGACCCCATTTCAATAATAAACTTGGTATCTTGGTGTGCACCTGTCAATAAAGCTATGTGAGAGGCTGGGGCCCTAGGCAAAAATGAGATAAACTACCTGAAAAAAAGAAAAGAAAAGAAAAAGCGCAAAAAAAGGATTAGGGTGTGGCCCATGTGGTAGAGTGAGCTTAGCATAAGTCAGGGCCCTCCATCCCAAAACCCCAGTACTTCCAAAACAAAGAGGGGAAAAATGGGAGAAAAAAAAAAAAAAAAAAACAGAGTTTCCTAATCAAAATCATCCCAAACTTCTGCATTTCAAAATTATCTAAAACTTAAAAGAAAATGCACAGGCATGGAGGAGGGGCAAGATAAACAGAAGGAACAATAGTTACTATCTTAAACTATGTATTTTTTTCCAAATGAACTTCAATACCTAGAAAATTCACTGAATACAAATACAACATAAACAATTTTTTAAAAATCAACCTAAAGAAATGGAAAAGGGGGAAGGTGGCTCAGCAGTAGAGTGCTTGCCTTGCATGCATGAGGCCCTGGGTTCAATTCCTCAGCACCACATAAGCAAAAAGAAAAAAGCTGGAAGTGGTGCAGTGGCTCAAGTGGTAGAGCACTAGCCTTGAGCTGAAGAGCTGAGGGACAGCGCCCAGGCCCAGAGTTCAGGCCCCATGACCGGACCAAAAAAAAGAAAAAGAAAAAAAAAGAAATGGAAAAGGAACAAATGAAAACAATGTATTACACGCTTATTTAACAAGAGTTCTAAAAATAAAATTCAATCCAGGTGATGACTACAGTCAACCACATGAACCTCCAGGGTTTATTTTCAACATTACAATTTTCAAAACATTTATTCATTCAACAACCACACCCTGGGTGCTGAAGAAAACCTGCAGGCATCCCAGCCTGATAAGCCAGACAGATTCTAATGTCCCTTCCACAAATATTTGTAATGAGGCAAATCCATGCACATAGAAAGAAAACCACATAGACAAAGCCTTATCTATATAGCTATTCTTCACAAAAGCCCCCAAAATGCTGGAATAAAAGTAAGTTGTTATGATACAAAATTGCATTTTCAAATAGTAGCTAATGAATATGGAAATGTTCTTGGTTAAATGTTGGGTTAAAAAATAGTAGTTACAATTATACATATTGTTGAATTCTCAAGTTCTTCGTGTCAACACAGAAAAATCATAGAGTTATCTAGTGTCTCTGAAATTAATTAGGTTCTCTTTCTTTTGGGGGGTACTGAGGTTTGAAGTCAGGGTCTTAGCTGCTAGGCAGGCTACCACGTGAGCTATGTCCCCAAATCCTTCCCAAACCCTTACCCTAATCCTTTTGTGATGGGGCCTTGGGCAAGCTCGCTGAGCACTCCACCACGGAGCCACGCCATCGGTCCTTGAGTTTGTCTTCTGCACCTCTCCATAATTTCTAGATTCCACAACACTGTCAATTTCATAATTACTACACTTAAAAAAATAAAAAGACTTCTCTGTATAAGGTGAGGTAATGCGGCACGAGTCTCCCTTTTTGTATTATGGGTGGTTGGCTGATTAAAATCACTGCATCCCAAACAGAAGTCCAAAGCATCGCAAGTCATTTATTTCCACAACACTGACCAGTCAAGACTCAACTTATAAAACTTTAAAAACTAAAAAAAAAAAGTACATGGAAAATGCTGAATGAAATAGACAAGAAATCAACACAATAGAGAAATGTAACTCAAGGCTGGAATACGGGGACCACCTGGAAAGGAGACTATTGAACGAGCATGCAACGGGAGAAAGAACATGCCTGCTGCTCACACAGAAACTCCAAACAGGCCTGAGGAGGCTACTTCTTCCCGGGACTTGCCAGGCCTGGGCAGTGTACAAGCAGTTTTTCTAACAAAGTCACTCCCTGCCACCAAGATCACACCACCACCACCATCACCATCACCACCACCACCACTACCACCACGGCATATCAAGAAGTGGGTCGGGGTCACCCCGGAAGTCCCCCTACCTAGTAGGTCTCTTGCTGCCCTCTTCCTACCTAGGGAAATCTGTGCAAGGATGTCTACTTGCTTACACACCTGCTGGGTTTTTCCACTGCATTCTTAAGTTCAAGGCCCTTCACGTCGGAGCCCAGAAGCAAGCTGTGCAAACTGGAGGTGCCCAAAGCACCAATTAATGAAAGGATCATGTCTCTGCTTCCGTGACCTCAGCTTCAAAATGGAAATATGAGTTCAAGTCTCCAAACTGTATTTGGAGTGGGAGGGAGGGGAGTCACGGGGAAACGGGACTAGACTTTCAAAAAAATGAAAGTTACAGAGGGATGGCCCAACAGGTCCACTGTTGATTTTAAAGTTACCTAACAATATCCTCCACAATCTCAGTAAGATATTCAGATGGTCACAAGCTCAGGAGAAGCTGTGGAAGGCCAGAGAGAAGTATATCTGGAAGTCTGCTGCCAACTCTGCCCCAACTCCTGAAGCCTCAGTCTCCTCATCTGCAATATGGGGGCAATTAGGCCTACTTCCAGTGACTGGGTTGAGTACATAAAATGCACTCAGTGGATGGAAACTATTAGTGTGCTGGATCGCACCACAGGAGAATCCAGTCGTCTGAGCTGGGCTTTCTTTGTTGACTAAAGCCAAGAGCACATTTGAGCAGCATCTCAGGTCCTCTAGACACAGGGCTGGCACTCAGAGAAGGCATGTCAGGTGCTAGGTTAGATGTTTGCTCTGGTTGTATACTACTTGGAAGAGACCTACCCCTTCAACCCCAGCGTTGGTGTGGCTTCCCGAGTTAGGGTGTCCCCCGCTAGAGGACATCTCAATGGAGCCTTTGGCTGTGTACCTGTCCATGGGTCAAGAGCAGAAAGGGAAGGGGGCACAGGCAGACCACCCATCCTGTGACCTTGAATGACTCACTTCCCGGCCCTCGATCTTCTCTTGGGAAGTGGGGCGGTCCCATTCTGCGCTACCTTGAGTTCCTGTCCATCCTCTACAAAGCACTGGGAATCATCCTCGGTCAGGTCTAAGGGACACCTTGAACTGTGTTCCAACTCCTTCCAAAGCCACTTGCCAGTCCTTTGGCCCTGCTCCCACGGGAAGGGAGGGTTCTGCGGACGCTTCCATGGCCCTCTGTTTTTTGTTCAGGGTGAAGCAGCTCCCCACCCCACACTGTTCCTTCCACCTTCCCTTTTCCCACCCATGAAGTGGGCAAGTGTGTGAGCACTCACAGGCTTCCGTGTGTCAGCCTGGGCCACTCCCCACGGACAAATAATCAACAGTTCAGAGAAGCAACTCGCATTCACTCATTTCCTCCCCGCAACCCCCAACAACCCCCCCACCATGCTTCTTCATAAATCATGCCTCTCACTCGCACACCCATGAACACTTACAAAATTACATCTATTACAAAAATAAATAAATAATAACCAGCTGAAGTCCTTTCATGCCCTGACACTTCACCATCAAAATATCTTCACACTCCCTGGTACCAGTAAGGCCACTGCAGAAGTCAGACCCAACAGCTCATTTCCCTGGAAAGATCCATGGCCCAGGGCGCTTTCTAAGAGATGTTTCTTTGAATGTTCTTTGTGTCCTGGCGCCCTGGGGGGGGGGGGGGGACACGGCTTGGCTTGCCGGCATCTGGGGGACACCGGCTGCTGCTCATGGCAACCGCGATGCTGGCCTCGACCAAACCCCTCGATCCTAAAGTCTTCCCGACGGTTCGGTGTGCCACCTTCACGCAGCCCCGCCGCGAGCACCATGCCGGGAGTGTGCAATCCTGCGGGGAGCGTGGGGCGCCCAGACCCGCCTCGGGCGCCGCGGTTCCCCGGAGGACAGCTCCGCAGACCTTCGGCAAGCCTGGCGGAAACCCGCACGCTTCGGTGCGGTTCCCTTATTTCCCCTCTGCCTTTATTTGCTAGGCCCAGGAAGAATAGGGGGACAGAAAAGAAAAGAAAAAAGGCATCTCCAGCGCAGGAGGGCGAGGGAGCCGAGGAGAATAAAAGAGGCCGGGCGGGGGGAGCCCGGGTTGGGAGAGCTGGAGGGGAGGGCGGGCAGGGTCGCGGCCGCATCCCGGGGGGGGGGGGGGGGCCGGCGGAGCTTACCTGGGGCGCACGAGGCCGGCCCGGCCAGCAGCAGCAGCCAGAGGCCGGGGAGCAGCAGCCCCGGGCGGAGGCGGCGAGCGGAAGGCCCGTGGCCGCTCGGCCCCGGGACCAGCGCGACCCCGGCGCGGGGCTTCCCTTCCATGGCCGCGCCTCGGCGTCGGCGCCGCGCCCCCGGCGTTCCCGGTCGGAGCCCCCCGGCGTTCCCGGCCTCCGCGGCGCTCGGGGGTCCCCGGGAAGCGGGCGGGCGCTGCGGCTGCGGCGGGGACCCGGCGCCGCGCACCGGCGGGGAGCGAGGCCGGCGAGGCGGGGGCGGCCCGGGGGCCGGAACCGCGGGCGGACGGGGGCCGCCAAGCCGCACGCCGCGCCGCTCCGCCCCCTTCGGAGCCCCGGAGCCGCTGCCCCGCTACGCGCGCGGGCTCGACGCGGGGAGGCGAGCACCCCCTCCCGGCCGGCTGGAGCCTGCCTGCGGGGCGACCCAGGCGGCGGGCGCGGGGGCGGCGGCGGCGGCGGCGGCGGGGACGGCGCCCGCCCGCCCCCTCAGGACCCGCCTCCCGGGAGGGGGGGGGCGCGGGAGGCCCCGGCTGGGCGGGCGGGCGGGTGGATCGCGCAGCCCGGCTCCGCACCTAGCATCGGGTGCCCGCCCCGGATTCCTCCCCACCCCACCGCCCCGCGCCGCCGGGATCGCGGCGCCGGCCGCGCAGGACGGGGTCGGAGCGGGGCTCCCGATCGTCCTCGGCCGCCGGCTGACTCGGTGCGGGCAGCAGGTGTGTGCGGAGCGCCGGCGTCCGGGCAGCCTCGGGGTTGCAGAGCGGACAAAGAGGGGAGAAGCCGGGCCTCCCCTCTCCAGCACCCGCCCGCTCCCGGCTCTGCCCAGCCTCTCTGCACACGGCCACCTCGGCCAGGTGGGCTCCTGGCAAAGGTACCACTCTGCACACAGTGGGCCTGCAGGGCGCGCCTGCTGAACCAGATTGAGGAGGAGAAAGAGCACACGCACGCGCGCACGCGCGTGCACACACACACACACACACACACACACACACACGACCCAGGCCCTAGCTGGACACTGGTTGCTCACGCCTGTAATCCTTGCTACTCAGCAGGCTGAGATCTGAGGAAAATGGTTTGAAGCCAGCCCAGGCAGGAAGGTCCGCAAGACACTGATCTCCAATAAACTACTCAGAAAAAGCCAGAAGTGATGGCTCCAGTGGTGGACCGCTAGCCTCGAGCAAAAGAAGCTAAGGGATGACACCCAGGCCCTGGATGCTTGCACAGGCCGGGGTACTAAGACTATAGGAGGGGCAATAGCTATTGATTGTCCAGAACACTAGGGTGGACAGTGTGAATCACCACCTACCAAAACAGTCCTGGTCCAAAGATCTTACTGGTTTTCCCCCAAAAAGGCCCAGCAGAGGAGATGCCCAGCTTGGCAGAGCCAACCCAACTCTCTAGGAGAGACCATCAATACAGTTCCTCTACACAATCCCGCCCCAGAACCCTCTCCTAGGTTCTGAACTGTAAGGCTCACAAAAAAGGGGAGGGAGGTGGAATTAAAGGTAAAAGAGTGTATTGATGTTGCTAATATTTTTGTGAATTATTACACCACAAAGCACACCCAGTCCATTCTGAACAATGGCTCCCCCATCCCGCCTTTGAAGGGCTTTGCATACCTGGTCTAATGTACACACTCAGGTAAGTACCTAAGTGGAGACGCTGCTTGTCAGGGCATGTCTGGTCCCTGGATACAATGGCACTGTATCTGGAACCTTCTTCTTAATGGCCTTCCTTTTCTCTTGTGGACACTCTTCGTTTGACCACAGACCTCTGCCTTGGGTGATTCTTACGAAGATACAATCCTGCTATGTTGTTTTATTTATCTAGGGGTTTATGCTTTGCCTCCTCCATGAAATTCATATGAAGTTCAAATATAGTGACATCCTGCTTAGTATTTCCCAGGGCATCAGGAAACCGTCCTTATTCATTTGTTGATTTGAGAGCATCTGCTGCCTGGTGAAGAGGTGGGCCAATCAGAGCTGGCGTCAGCCTGGAGGCAGCTTCCACCTGCACTGGACTTGAGAGTGTGGGAGAAAGAATCCCCCTCCTGCTTTCCAACCAACAAAGGGACAGATGGAAATAAAAATAAAACTCACAAATGTCAACTAATCAAAATGATTCATGGGCACCTACTCTCTCTAAGGAAAGAGATCCCTAGGAACCCTTAGCCCCCAGCTCTGAAATTATGCTTTCATTATGCTTTTCACAGGCCGGAGTTATGGCTCAAGTGGTAGAACACCTGCCTGACAAGTGCAAGACCCTAAGTTCAAACCTCCAATATCCCCCTTCAAGAAAAAAATAAATAAATAAGGGCTGGGAAAGTGGCTCAGTGGTAGAGTGCTTGCCTTGCATGCATGAGGCCTTGGGTTCGATTCCTCAGCACCATATATGCAGAAAAAGATGAAAGTGGCGCTGTGGCTCAAGTGGTAGAGCACTAGCCTTGAGCTGAAGAGCTCAAGGACAGTGTCCAAGCCCCATTACTGACAAAAAAATAAAGAAAAAGAAAAAAAAAAAAAACTGGTATTAACACACATCTACAAATGCCTGTATCTGAGTAAAGGGATTAAGACAAAGTTAGAGTGTTCATATTAAATTATAGGACAAATAAGTTTAAAAGGCATTTCTAAGCACTGTGAGTGCTCTGTGGACAATATAAAAGAATTAATTTTAGAGATCAGCTCATCTACTGCGCATTTTCTACATAAACAAGCCAGAGAGGTGAGTTCCTTTCACTTTGTCTCAAGTAGAATTTGTCATGTGCAGCTTTCCAGTTACCCACAACCTCTGGGGCAAAAGGAGAATCAGCCTGGCTTCCCAAGGCTATCTGGGTCTGAGAAGGTGAGAGGTGAGATCAGTTCCAACCTTAGATCCGAGCAAAATAGGCCTCACTCTAGACCTCTACCAACCTCACCCTGCAAATCTCTGAGGCTCAGAGAAGACTGCCATGTTCTCCGTGCTCACGTGTGTGTGTGTGTGTGTGTGTGTGTGTACTATGACTTGAACTCAGCAGCTGGGTTCTGTCCCTTAGCTTTTTTGCTCAAGACTAGCAGTGCTCTACCTCTTAAGCCACAGCTTTTTGGTGGTTAATTGGAGATGAGTCTCATGGACTTTCTTTCCTGCTTGGACTGGCTTTGAACCTTGATCCTCAGATATTAGCTTCCTGAATAGCTGGCATTACAGAGGTGAGCCACTGATGGCCAGCCATTCCCAGTTTTGAGTGTCCAGAACCCTAGAACTACCTGCTCTTTTGTCCCGTGACTCACTTCAGAGCCAATGGAGGCTCTTCCTCACATCTCTCTTCCCAAGGCTGGACCAGCAGCTGGTGCCTCTAGACCCAAGGAGTGGACAAGGGGACGCTTGGATGGGCCTGGAAGGTGTCTACAGATGTGCACAGGAAGCCTGTAAATGTGAGGCAAAGAAGCAAGGATGGGAAGAGAAGGCTAAACTGGCTCCATATTCACAGGGCAGGGGATGGGAAGGTGGCTCAGTGGTAGAGTGCTTGCCTTGCATGCATGAGGCCCTGGGTTCAATTCCTCAGCACCATATATGGAGAATAAAGCCAGAAGTGTTGCTATGGCTCAAGTGGTAGAGTGCTCACCTTGAGCTGAAGAGCTGAGGGACAGCGCCCAGGCCCAGAGTTCAGGCCCCACGACCGACCAAAAAACAAAACAAAACAAAACATATTCATAGGGCAACAGGGATGCACATTCCTATTTGCTGCTATCACAAGGATTTGGTCTAGCTGGTCATTGAGAAGGTCTTTCTGTTATAAGAAGACAGACATTTTATTTCATCGTTTGCCTGCTTGGCATGCAGATATTTTATTGTATGGGAGTGTGTGCCTCTATTTGCCCTCTTGACCTGGGCTTCTCCATCCTCAGGGCTGGGCCTGGATACCAGTGGGGAAGAAGGACTAACAGACTATTCAGGAAGGCAATGCTGGAAAGCAGAAGAGGCCCCAGACGATGGAAGGGGACAGCTGAGCTCTGTGCTCCACTCTGGCCCATGAAAGCTTGTGAACTTGTGCAAAAGGTGTAGCCCCACACTCAAAGTTCAAATCTTGCTGGGCACTGGAGGCTCACACCTGTAATATTCAGCTACTCAGGAGGTTGAGATCTGAGAATCATGGTTCAAAGTCAACAGAAAAGTTCATGAGACTCCTCTTATTTCCAATTTACCAGTAAAAAGCAGGAAGTGGAAGTGTGGCTCAAGTGGTAGAGTATCAGCCTTGAACCAAAAAGCTAAGCAAGAGCAGGAAGGCTTCTCTTCTGGCATAAAATAAAATCAACCCTTAACTCTGATGATGAATTTGATATGCCTATCTTGGCTAATTGTGGCCTGTGATACAAAATAAGAAAAATGTCTACAGAGTTCATTCATTAGATTCCATGAGCATGTTTTATCTGCCAATGATAGCTGTTTGGAGACTAATACAGCAGGAACAGAGCATGGCAGAGACCAAGATAACTAGAACCGTCAGGGACCATCGCTTGCTCTAATAAGGTGCCACTGAGCCATGGGAATCTCTGGGAATAAGGGTGCAGGCAGAGGGAACAACTGCGCAAAAAATAAAGAAGCCACTTGAATAAACATCAAAAAAAATTACTAAGCTCCTAGTGGGTAAATGCCCCACAGAGCAGAATTCTAGGTGATGAGTAAGATTAATTAGCTAGGATTACTTCAAAGAGCTTGAAATCTTATGGGGACGCAATAAACTTTAAAAATGATTATGATACCAAGCAGAACATGATAAATATCAGGAAGTCACAAAATGTTCCAAGAAGGGAATTGTTTTTGGTAAGAGGCCCGGAGGAGAGCTTGATGGTGGCCATATATGAACTGGGCCTGAGCGAGGGAGATTGGAGAAAGGACCAGACATGTACTGCAGGCTGTGAGGATGGATGGTCTGAACAAAGACAGAGACAGAACAGGAGGTTCTTCTAACCAATGTGTTAGAGCAGCTGGAACTCATGTTAAGAATCACCAGGGCTCCAGTACACAAAACAAGCCACCTGTGGGCTACACTCCCAAACAATTACATCCAACTCTGCAAGCAGAGACATGCCGCATGGATATTCAGAGACAGAAAGTACTGAGGGAGAAGTCTGAGTGCACCTT